TAACAGATCCCCGACCCCTGGTCACATCGAGGACTGGCACTTGCCTTCCGTCCCTCAATGTTTGCCAGTCTCTTCCTTTTTCACAAAGGGAGGTGACAGGGCAGGGGCTCCGCAGGCCCGGCACAGACCAGAATGTGGCCATGCTGCTGGATTTCAAGGTAGCCGCCCAGTCTGTGGTCCCTAAGTGTTTCCGGCCATTGATACTGGCTTTTTACTATTTTTATAAAAGTTTTCATCTTAAAATTGTTTTGTTTGGCTAACAGCTTATAAATCTTCTTTTGGAAATAAAACAATTCTAAAGCCCAGTGTGGTTTTGCACTCCTGTCATCCCAACACCTGGGAGGGAGGCTGAGGCAGGAGGATCCCTGAAAGGATGAGGGCAGCCTGGACTACGTAATGAGTTCAAGGCCAGCCTGGACTGGGTACCGAAGCGCATCAGCAATTCCCGTGCTGATGGTGAAGGGAGTGGAGACCTGAGTGCCTACAGATTGAGGAACGCAAGTCTAAGTAATGCCCAAGGCCCTGCCCCAATTCATAATACTCATTGTCCCAGGAAAGCACATTGTCACTAATACCATTTCTGTTTGTTTAGGTCTCCCTCTCAGTCTGGTCTTGGACTCACTGTGTAGCCCGGACTGGCCTTGAACTTTTGCAGAGATCCTCCTGCCTCAGCCTCCCAAGTGGTGGCATGACAGGTGTGTGCCACCACGCCAAGCTTTGTGCCATTCTCACCTGTCTCCCAGCCCTGCATCTCTGACGCAGGAGCAAACATACAAATCAGTTCTGTCTGTGGCCGGTACAAACAGGGACAGGGACGGGCATTGCCCGAGCACTGCCAGGGTGCTCCCTGACCTCTGTCCCTGGAGATGGCTCGCTCAGTGGCCTCAGACCCGGCACTGCTTCTTCCTTGGGTTAGTTCCAATGACAGTGGAACAGCAAGGTCACCTCTCATGACAGACTTCAGGGTGCATGTGTACTGTTGGAGATTGAACGCCACTCTAACACTGAGCTTGTCCCCTTTTTAATTTTGAGCAGGTTCTGACTAAATTGTCCAGGCTGGCATCAAGCTTTTGGTCCTCCTGCCTTAGCCTCTAGAGTAGCTGTGATTACAGGTGTGCACAACCACGTCTGCCAAAACTATTTTTGTAAAATGTGTTAAATGCGGCACATGTAAACTAGTACAAACTCTATGGAAATCAGTATTCCTCAAACAACGAAAACTAGAAATTTTATTTGGCCCAGATGTTCGTGTTCTAGATATCTCCGCAGAGGGTTAGACGTGATATTCCAGTGTGGCATGCACACCCACATTTAAAGCAGCACAGTTTGGGACAGCTAAATCTTGGAAGCAGCCTGTAAGTCCACCAGCAGATGAGTGAATAAAGAAAGTGTAGTACTGGGCCGGGGGTTTAGCTCAGTGGCATCGTGCCTGTCTCACAAGCACAAGGTCCCAAGTTCAATCCCCAGTACCCCCCAAAAAAGAAAGTGTGGTATTTATTCACAGTGGAGTACTACTCTGCTGTAAACAAGGATAAACTTGAATGCATCTTGAGACCATCATGTTAAGTGATATAAGTCAGGTACACACAGAAGCTTAAAAACTACATGGTTTCTCTCGTACGAGCAAAAGCCTAGAAAAACAGCGAAATCAGAGATCATATATATAGGAAACGGGGCCTCACCCAAGTCTGTGACATGTTAGGCAAACACTCTACAATCGAGCTACTTCCCCAGCCCTAGCCACAGCATTTAGTCAAGAATTTTTAATGCAGCTTTCGATCATGTATTTTATTTAGGTATATACCACCTTGTTGCGAGAAAGGTATTGTGGCAACTTATAAAAATAGATACGATACAACGGTATAATAAAAATAGGTCAGGCTAAAGGTATAAGCAGAGTCCAGAGGAGATAGCATGTTAAACATGAATTCAGGGGGCTGGGGATTTAGTTCTGAGGTTCTGCCGCCCGTCTCACAAGTGCAAGGTCCCGAGTTCGATTTCCAGTAGCAAAAACAAAAGAAAAATGAATTCAGATTGGACTTTGGGCTTTCCAGCAGCGGAAAGCATTTCTAACAAGGTTCCTAACAAGAGTTAGTTTCAGGGTTTGAAAGCAGACCTGGTTCAAATCTTGTTTGGGGGTTTTTGAGACAGGGTCTCACTATGGCCTTAAACTTGCAGAGCTCCTCTTGTCTCAGCCTCCCGAGTGCTGGGATCGCAGGTGTGCGTCACCACGCCCAGATGTGTTCAGATCTCAACTCTCCTGGTTGGAGACCCGCCCTGCGCAGGCTCAGCCATGGAACCCGAGGGTCATCGTCCCTGGTGGGGAGGACGCTGCTGGCCTTGGAGCTCCTTGGTGTAGTGACAATGCCCGCCCGGCTGCCGCCGGCTCTGTCAGGTGTGGCTCGGGTCCTCCGTCCCCCTAAGCTTGGTGGCCTCGGCCGCAGCAAGTCAGCTTCCTCGCCCCATGGGAGGAACTTGCCGGGGCGCATGGCACCACCCCCACCTCCGAGAGGCAGGACAGCCATGCGGGGGCCTTGTCCTTCCACCACCGCCTTGGCTTCCGGTGTGGCTTAGGGCAAAAGCTGTTCTGGAAATGGCTTTCAGGAGCGGGTCTCCGTCCTCCCCAGAGAGCACAGATTAGGGAGGAGCCCCAGCTGGGAGCCAATGCCACCTCCCTCGTATCACATTTCACTTTTCAGAAACACTGGCAACAGCGCTGGGTGTGGTGGCGCACGGGGAAGGTGAGGCAGGAGGGTTACCGTGAGTTCCTGGCCAGCCTGGGCTACATAGAGACTCTGTCACCCACACAAAAAATACAAGAAACACAGGAGGCAGCTTCCTTTGCCTTTGCAGCTGCAGTGGGTAGGAAAAGCTGGCTCCTCCCTATCCAGACCCTTCCTTGGTTGAAGACCTTGTTGTTAACTGTAATAAAGCCCAATGTAGGTATTTTTTTTTTTGGCAGGGGGGCGTCTCACTAGGCAGTTGAGACTGCCCTGGAACTCCCTATGTAGCCCAGGCTGGTCTCGAACTCACAGCGATCCTCCTGCCTCAGCCTCCTGAGTGCTGGGGTTACAGGTGTGCACCACCACGCCTGGCCCAATGTAGGTTTTTAAGAAATGCTGCTGAGCCTCAGGTTTCCTTTAGAGCTTCCAGGTTCACAGATGGAACTGTTCCCGATAGCAGCCCTTCCATGCCTCCTCCTGTCCCCACGGAATGGACAAAATTCTACTATAATCCTCTTAGAATTCCCTTTCCTCTAGGACTTATATTCACCTTTGTTTCCAATCTGATTGGAGGTGGCCACTCCTGGGCTTGGCATTCAAAGCTCTGTACAAGCTGGCCTCAGACCTCTTTAGGGCTCCTAGCCTGGCGACATTGGGTAAGAGCCACAGCCACCATTTCCGGAGCTGCCATCAGAAAGGCTGCAGTTGGAAAATGCTCTGCCCAGACACAGACCAGGCTGCTATGTGACCTTGGGTGAGTCCCTTTTGCCTCAGTGTTGTCTGTGAAACCAGTGCATTCAGAGTACCTGTGCTCACTGCTGTGTGGACAGAAGGGTATGCATGTGGCTTGCTCAGCAGTGCTGCTCTCAGCTAATGACTTCCTTTATATGAGATAGGGTCTCGCTATGTAGTTCAGACTAGACTCAAACTCACTAGGTAGCCCAGGCTGGCCTCCAACTTTCCAGCAAACCCCCTGCCTCAGCCTCCTGAGTGCTGGGATTATAGCTGTGCACCACCACAGTGAGCTATGATCTGCTTTGAAACCTAACGGTTCCCTCAATACCCTCCATGACAAGTGACAACTTCTCGGGGCTCCAGCGGGACCATCTGTAAAGGAGGCAAAGAATCGGAGGTACCTCAGAGTGCAGACAAAGGCCTGGAAACGGCACCTGAGGAGTATCTGGGGGCTGGGGCCAGTGCTAGCCCCCAGGAAACAGTGCTACTTGTCCTTTACTTTTTCAAGGCCACCTGTTCATCGGGTGTGGCAGCACCGGCCTGTAATCCCAGCACTTGGGAGGCTAAAGCAGGAGGATTGACGTGAGTTTGAGGCCAGCCTGGGCTAAACAGCAAGACCCTGCCTCAAAAAGAAAGAAAGAAAGAGAGAGAGAGGGAAAGAAATCCACCTGTTCCAAGTCTCTGCGGTGGACTGATGGAGACGTTGCTCACACCGCCAGGCTGTGAAATCATGGAGCACTCAGCCTCGTAAAAGCCACACCCAGGGCCGAGGGCAGGGCCGGCCGCAGCCCCCTGAAGAGGCCGGGGCAGTGGCGGGCGGGCGGGGAGGCTGGACGTGTCCAGCACTGAGTCAGACCTGGCTGGGCCGGCGTCCTCACGCCCCTCTATTTCAGGGGCGACTTGCAGCATACGAAAAACGGAAGAAACGTACTCGGCAGCAGTTGTATTTCCCTGCCTTCCTGGCTGGGCCGCTAAATTTCCTAATGGGGCAACTGGGCCTTTATTTTTATTGATTGACTTTGTGTTTTGAGACAGGGTGTCACTTTGTAGTTCAGGCTGCCCAGACTGGCCTCAAACAGCAATCTCCCTGCCTCAGCCTCCTGAGAGCTGGGATGCCAGGCAGGCGCCACCACGCCCAGTGTGGGTCTGTAAATCCACATACCCTGGGGACTGCAAGGGGCACGAGGAAGAGAGCAGGCCCGGGCTGGGTGGGATGGGCACAGGTGCCTTCACAGGTGCTTGGGCATCTACATGCCCTCCGCACCCCAGGCGGAGCTGCTACAAAGGCCTGCCTGATGCAGCCGCACCAGGTCCTGGTTCCCGTGTACCACCCAGCCACCTCTCCACCTTTATGCACCTGTTTTGTCTTTGGCAGAACAAAGTTGGCTATGGAACTTTCGAGCTCAAAAGATCCCAGCCGAAGGGGACAAGGGGAGGCCTGAGGTGAAGCAGCGTGAAGCCAGGGCCAGCTCGGTGCTCAGCCCCGGTCCTCCCTCCCTGCACCCAGAGGCCCGCTCTCCCCGCCTTCCCCGCCCTTGGCTGCTGGGCCAGGCCTCCCAGGAACCTTGCCCACCCTGGCCCAGCCCTGCCTGGCAGGCAGACCCGGAGGCGTCCCTGAAGGTGAGCGGTGGCTTTGGAGCCTGCGGAGAAGGGGCTCGGGCAAGCACGCTGCTGGGTGGAGGGAACCTGGCAGGGCCACACCCCGCAGAGCTGCTGTTGGCAGGCAGCTGCCTCAGCCTCCTCAGTGCTGCACAACAAATGACGGCACCAAGGGACACAGGGGCGGCTCGGGGAGGACAGAGGGAGGGGCCGGGCCTGGGCCAGCTTCTGTCTGGGTGTGGCTTCTCAGTGGTGAGGTGACAGTGGACGTCTGGAATGTGGCCGGACAGTGGAAGGGCGGGGCCCAGGGCTGACCCAAGGCAAGAGCAGGGATGCTGGCCATGGGGCCTGAAGCCCAAGGCCACCATTGGCTCAGCCAGAAGAGGGGCCAGCCCCTGGGCATGGTGGCGCACACCTGTAATCTGGCACTCAGGAGGATGAGGCAGGAGGATCGCTGCAAGTTCAAGGCTAGCCTGGGCTATGTAGCAAGACTCTTTCAAAGCCAAAAAACAAAAGCAGGGACCTGGAATGGCAGAAAATCAGTGCACTGGCTCCCAGGGCCTCGGGCTTTGAGTAGCCCTGGGGAGAGAGAGAGAGCTGAGAGAAGGTGGGGGAGGGGCGATAGCTTGGCAAAGTCTCCCCATCTGTAAAATGGGGTAACGAGAACACAGCAACCTCTCCAGGCCTCGGGGAGGGGCAGGGTCTGGATCCTCCTGCCTCAGCCTCCCAAGTGTTGGGATGACAAGGGTGCACCACCACACCCGGCTGTAAATGAGCTATGATCTCTACCTCCAAGGGAGGAATGGGGAGGGTTAGATGGGTGATTATGTATAAAGCCAGTGCCGCCCCATGGGTGCTGAGGAAGCAACACACAGGGCTGAGGGGGCCCCAGTAAATACTTGCGGACGTGGCTGCAGGAGCTGCGGGGAGCCCCGCGCCTTCTCCCGGCTCAGGCTCAGACCACGAAGTGGAGCCCATAGGTGAGCTGGTGGCCGTTGTCCCAGGCGTACAGCACGCGCTCCCTGGGGTTGTAGTCGATCTGGGTGGTGTAGGCGTGCTCATTGCGGAAGGGCAGCTGGGGACGCGCGTCGGTGCCCGTGTGGGTGTCGAAGGCGTAGGCGACCTGGCCCTCACGCTGGTTGTAGGTGTCCACGGCGTAGAGGATGCCGCACACCAGGAAGCAGTTCCCGTACGAGCTCCGCCGCAGCCGCGTCTTCCACGTGGTCTCGCGGCGCACTGAGAGGTCGCCGGGGTCCAGGCGGCTCAGCACGATCACCGCGGGCTGGGC